CCTGAGGGCCCCTGAAGGGCTGAGAGTGAAGGCTTCTAGGCCAGGGAAGAAATGACGACCCTGAAACCGGGGGAAACGGGACTCTTGCTACCGAACAGCTGAAAGTAAAATTGACGAGAGAGATAAGCTAAAACGAACACAAAGATTATTAAATAGAAAGGAACCAGGACTCACTGGGTTCAACTATCTGTATCCCATTTAAAGCATCTCCACATGCCCAATGGTCACATAATGGGTAAGCAGAGAAATGGCTTCCGGGCAAAGATCAAATCTAGGGGGCTGCCAGGAAAACAGTCTAAAGATGAAGCCAAGACTTTGTTAAGACCTTGCAAAGATTTAACGTGCTGCCTCAAATTCCTTTAAAGATCTTAAAAGCGTAAGAATTTCAAAGGCGTGGTCCCCCAACAGCTTCACAGGAAGCCCAAGGTGAAGAGTTTATCTCAAAAAGACGTGACAGTAGCTTTTCCAATGGCAGGAACCCCAATAAAATTCACAGGAAACTCAGTTTTAAAGAGAACTGTGGTAGCAAAACTACTGCTTACTAGCTTGGACTGAAAGAGACAAGACAGTGCAAAACGGGAGGCGGCCTTTGGGTTTTTCTTAGAAGGTCTACAAGGAGGAAGCTGGCTGGAGAGAACTGCTCAGCTGCAAACACGGGTCATTGCTCATGAAAGGGACAGAACAAAGAGCTCAGAGAGGGCAGCGAAGGAGAACCCCTCCCAGGGTTAGGACTAAGTCCTAATCAAAGAGCCGGCAGCATCAGGCTGCACTGCAGAACTCCTACGGGCCAGCGTGCCTCCCATCTTCCATCTGTGAGCGAGGGAGTCCTCAGCAGTTCAGCAGAATGTCGGGCGTGGGGCGGCAAATAACCCGTGTCTCCTTATCCTCAAGCCTCAGCACTGAGAGGCGTGTACCCAAGGGCTGTACTCCAGAAAGCACGCCCAGGAGCCTCAGCCCCACCTGGACCTGGTGAAGATGGGAAAGTAAGACCCTGGGCTGGAGCCTGAGCCTAACACCACAGCCACCGAGACCTGCTCATGACCGCGTAGGGACAAGTGGATTTCTCGTATGGAAGCAGTAACAAAACATTGTGGCTAGTGAGTAGATTATGCTGGTTTTTGAATGTCTCCGTAAGTTTTCAGAATTAATTCCATAAAAAAGGTAGAGTATGGGCCAACCTTAAATGCCCTGCTCCTAATGAACAGAAAACGGTGAAAGTGGCACCGAGTGAACTGCAGGGCTCGGTTTGAAAAGGCACTTCAGCTTCTGCCTCGCTCTTAACCCTGGAACCCAGTCTCAGGCGGGCAAGCTCAGGCCACAGAGACAGCTTCCGTGTTCCAGGGGAGGTGGTCCACCTGCCCGCCCCACCTAAGCCACAGCCCACCGCCGACATCAACCATCAGACATCAATGGATGAACCTTCACGTGATTCCAGGCCCCCGCCTTCGAGCTGCCCCACCTGAAGCTGAGAGGAATAGAGGCCAGCTGTCTTGGCCACACTTTTCCTAAGTGCAGGTTGTGAGCAAAATAAATGCTTATTTAAGCCCCTGAACTTTGGGGAGTTTGTTAGGCAAAAACAGATAAACAGAAGAGTGGATGAAAAAAGATAATAAGAAATGTAACTTGAATAGAGTAGAAATTGCTCTCCTATAAACTGGAATGCAACAAACGTTGAGATT